AATATAATAATAATAATAATATAATAATAATAATAATATAATAATAATAATATAATAATAATAATAATATAATAATAATAATAATATAATAATAATATAATAATAATATTAATAATATAATAATAATATTAATAATATAATAATAATAATATAATAATAATAATATAATAATAATGATAATAATAATAGTAATAATAATAATAATAATAATAATATAGTAATATAATAATATAATAATAATGATAATAATAATAGTAATAATAATAATATAATGATAATAATATAATAATAATAATAAAAGTAATAATATAATAATAATAATAATAAAATAATAATAATAATAATAATGATAATAATAATAATATAATGATAATATAATAATAATAGTAATAATAATAATAATATAATATTAATAATATAATAGTAATAATATAATAATAATAATAATATAATAATAATAATAAAATAATAATAATATGATAATAATAATGATATAATAATAATAACATAACCATAATAATAATATTATAACAAATTAATAATTATAATATAACAAATAAATATTAATAATATAATATCAATTAAATAATAATAATACAAATAATATACTTACTTACTTAGTTGGCCATTACAGACGTGAGTCGTCCTTGGTCGCGTCGAGTAGCCTCCGTCAGTCAGCCCTATTAATTTCTTGCTGTCACCAGTTGATAGTACCGAGCGTCCTCCAAATCGTTGGTCACCTGGTTCTTCCACTGAAGATATGGATATCATCTACCGTGTTTTCCACCTACGGATGCCAAATCAAATACTTTTCTAGCCGATGCACTTTCTTCCATTCGCACGACATGACCAAGCCAGACAAGCCGCTGAATTTTTACGTGCTTAACTATGTCAATGTGGCGGTATAGCTGATACAGCTACCTTGTATGTTCACACCCTCTCAAAATAATATAATAGTAATAATATAATAATGATAATGTCATAGTAATATAACAGTGTAATATATAATGAAATTAATAATATTACAATAACATAATAATAATAATATAGTAACAGTAATAGTTATAATTATGACAACAATTAGTATATGACAGTTATTAATAATTATAATTAACATTTTTTGTATATCAAATTCTGAATTTTGTCAAAGGGTTTCATATAAATCACCTTTTCTAGAACATATCACAATATAGACAAACGAGAAGACAGGAATTGATTAAGTACAGACATATAAATCTAATGTTTAGTTTAGGACAGCATTCCCTCAGTTTAACGCAAATATTGCCTTAAGTATTTTGACATTAAAATTGAGTTTTCTACTCAGTTACCTGTTTAAATCACTCCTAAGAAAATTGGATTTAAAAAGTGCAGATTGGATATAAAAGTGCAGAAAGTATATCTGAGGATTGTCTAGGGTTCGGAAAAATTTCTAGTTAATAATGTGTTTTTTGTTTTAGTTCCCTTCAGCTCTGTTTTTCAAAACTGTTTGTTTTTGCATTGCCTTATTACATCTGCCATTTTAATTTATAAACATTTCTTTTATATTATTTTTTTTTAATAAAAAACAATACAGTGTTGTCTTCTGCATTCATTCACTCAATTCAACCCATTTATTCTATCATTCAAATTAAATTTCGATATTTCGATATTTTATTTATATATATATATATAAAAGATCTGACATGCGGATTGTCCGTTTTATGATACATCTTTTTTGTTGTAAATAATTAGAAAATACAAGAATATTAAATCAGACATTATAATGATCAGGCATAATGATCATAATCTCTAACCTTTATAGTTTGGCTTTTTATTTTTTTAACCCGTCAGTAGGTCACTATTAGACTGTTTTGGTAAAATATATATATATATATATATATTGAAAATCATAATTTAACTCTGTAAACTTTAGTTTCATGACTTATATTTTTATAGTCTACATATATTGCATATCCACCTATAAGTCAAACAATTTATTTTTTTATTCAAATAACAACAAATAAAAAGAAAAGTGTTTATTTTTGCTTATATAAACAAATTATCGCTAATACAAAACAGATTTCTATTTATTGAAAGTAATTGTTATTTGCAGTGTATTTGTTCTGTAGGCAAGAGCGTCTCTTTTCTGAAAGCATTTTTAAATGTGAATTATAATTTTTGTATGATAAAATTTGAAATATTATTATAAACAAGTGTTTTCTTTTTACACTTAAAATGACGTTGAGTTTTTGAAACAATAAAACGTCACTTCACTAACAGCTACATTTTCTATATACTATATACTTAATAGTATATCGGTTTTTTATATGCGATATACTCTTCTTCATTAGTAAAAGTCTAACTATTCGTAGTTGTAACAAGGAAGGCCTCGTAATTTAGTTAAAGGCCCTCTTAAGCGTACTTCAACAGATTCAGCATTTATGTTCGGTTAAAATATATGTTAAATTAATTTGTTAAAAATAATAACAAATTGATAGGCTAAGCTAGACGTCCGCATGTCAGATCGTCCGCTTTATGATACATCTTTTTTGTTGTACATAATTAGTAAATACAAGATTATTAAATCAGACATTAATCCCAATGTCTAACCTTTATAGTTTGGCTTTCTATTTTTTTTTAACCCGTCAGTAGTTCACTATTAGACTGTTTTGGTAAAATCACCCTAACCGATTTTCTTAATTTTTTTTATTATTTAAAAAGATTTATTGATTTTAAGATTTATTTTACTAGGCGCTTATTAATCTATATCACATAAATTTGATATTTTTCATATATTAAGATAACGTATGCATAACTTGATTAATTGGTTTAAATTGATTATCTATATATCTAGAGCTGTATCTGTCCTATCGACAACTGTGAAGAAGTGCACTACTAGAATAGTAGGTATTTGTTTTCGTTCGATTTGAACGAAGGTCACCTTATCGACGAACAGTGATATCTTTGACAAGTGACGTTAGTGATACTAAGTCTTCCGAGTGGTAAGAACGATCTTAAGACGATAAAATACCGCTAACCTTTCTCAATTAGGCTGTTCATGTAGCTAAGCATCTACGAAATGTAGACTCTGTTATATACTATCACAACTATTGTCATTGAAGAGTTGTTTTTATTTGGAAGTTATTTAATTCAGATCAACAACGCAGCAGATTGATTACTGAGAAAATATGAATCTAGAATCTAGGCCGTGTGGAAGGAGTGTGTTTGGAGGAATCTGGTTATAATTGAATATTATTCGAAAAAATTAATTTAGTTATAGTTGTGAAGTATTCATTTTACTCTCGTCATTCTTAGTGTTGAAAAGTAACTGGTAAAAGAAATAAGACTGTACGAAATAATAATAAAAATAACTTAATTTTAAGCAAATTTTAACCTAATGGAGGTAATCCATTTAACAAAAGTGTCCATAAGAACAGTTTTCACTATATATTATAAATGGTCATTATTGTAGGAAAACACTCATTGTCAATTAATAATTTTCATGAGGAATATCTAGTCTAGAATATGTAATATATCTGTAGTTGCGTATATTAAAAGCTATGTTCGGTATTCTTTGAATTTTTTTTAATACAGTTTTCTCTTTATGTCTAAAGTGTTTGTCTTATTTATTATATTTTTCACAACTTTTAACTAACGCTTCAGTGGACTCACCCTTAAGTTTGCTTATTGACTAACTGACCGTAGTAGTTACTCTAATAGCCTATCCACACGATATAAGTAAAATCTTCATTAACTGTTCATCTGGATTTAATTCTTTCAGAGTTCCAGGAGGGACCGCGTATATATACCGGAGTTATTCGTCTTTTTAGACGATTAACTATTGCGAATTACAACCACTGCATTAAGTAGTTGCTGCTGTACATGAGTTCTTGTTATCAAGCGGAATTACAAAATTAGGTTTTGAAGATTGTCAAAACTTAGGCCGTACTAGACAAATTTCTAGTACGGCCTACCAGATTGTTCCAATTGTTTACTACCAATTTGTTCTAAAAATTTATTTGTTTTTCTTAAATAACTGATGCTCGATTATAATCAGCAAATATTTCATATAAATACTGATTTTATTTAGATTCCAGAAATATGCTTAACATTTGCTTTGCAAATGAATCTTAATAGAATTTGATAATTAATAAAAACTGGAAACCGATATGATATGAAGTAGTTTAGTTTAAGTAGTAATCTCAGTTCTTGTTATTGGTTTTTGCCTTTTGATTATAAGTATTTTGGATTTAAGAGTGCTTTTAATAACATGAGCTGTTATGGATTCAATACTTTGAATTATACTATGTATATATTATTATGAATATATATTATTATGAATATGTGTTGTTACAAATATATATTATTATGAATATATATTATTACGAATATATATTGTTATGAATATATATTATTACGAATATATATTATTATGAATATATATTATTATGAATATATATTATTATGAATATATATTATTATGAATTTATATTATTATGAATATGTATTGTTATGAATATATATTATTATGAATATATATTATTACGAATATATATTGTTATGAATATATATTATTACGAATATATATTATTATGAATATATATTATTATGAATATGTATTGTTACAAATATATATTATTATGAATATATATTATTATGAATATATATTGTTACGAATATATATTATTATGCATATATATTCATAAAGTTAGAGTACAGATATATTTTTCGATAAGAGATATATAATTAGTAAAATTAGTTTGTTCCTAATAACATTTATTTCTATGTTATATTATAGAAATATAAATTGTTAGTTATATTTTTTATATATTATATAATATATTTTGTTATACTCTATTATGTTTTTATAGTTTAATTTTATTTTAATATATATTAACTGATTCAAAACTAAGAAAAAAGAAAACTAAGAGAAAGAAGCATAGCATATATAAGCTTTAACTAATTCACTCTATATATTTGAATACACATATATTTTGACAAAGTTCTTTTATATATTTAAGGTTGTTGAACCGCCAGTTGATCTAATAAACCAAACTCGTAAGGCTGAGTCTAAATGCGTTTTCTTCTTTGGCACAAGAAATTTGTAAGTACAAAAAACTATTTTTTCTTGAAATTTTGTAATTCTGTTTTAATGTTTAGTTGTTTAATTTCTCAATTCTTTTCCGCTTTTTGCTACTGGTCACAGTCGTAAAAAATACACACGCAAGCAGATACATAGATACAAAAATGTGTTGTCATGGGTAATTGAACTGTTGAGTGAGCATCGTTGTAATTGTATAACTCATTCTCAAAACTATGGAATTCTGCATATAATAATAACTATACACACACAAATCGAACCTAAACATTATTAACTATGTTAATTCTTCCTTATTATCTTCCATGTGTTATGTTAGTATACACAATATGTTATATATAAATAATAATGAATTCACTTTTTAAAATCCATGTATATTATCAATATAACAATAAAAAAAAATGAAGTTTATATATATAATTTATATATATATGATTTATATATATATGATTTATATATATGTAGTTATTTTCTTTAAAAAAACAAAAGCAATATTTTTCGATACTCTTACAGAGTCTCAGACTTTTATTCAATCAAAATTAAACTTCTTTAATAATAAAGTAAAATTTAGTGTCTTTCTTTCTTTTTTAAACCCCAAAAATTCAAACTTTTCAAAATATATTAAACTTATCAAAACTTTTTAAAAAAACTTCTCAACTTCTCAAAAAAAACGCGTGTGTCTTTACCAAAAAAAACTCTTTTCTTCTCCCGTCATTTCTTTCTTTCGCTTCACTGCCTTATCTGCATATATATAATTTATGTATATATAATTTATATATAAATAATTTATATATGTATAATTTATATATATATAAATTATATATATATAAATTCTATATATATAATTTATATATATATATAATTTTATATATATATAATTTATATATATATAATTTATATATATAGAATTTATATATATATATATTTTTTTTTAACTGATAATTAATTGGTCAATTGTTAAATAATACACTTTTTAAAATTTTTTTGTTTTTTAAAAGATTTTACTTGAGCCGATATTTCGACTATAATCTATAGTCATCATATAGTTTCAAATAGAATCTTTTAAAAAACAAATATTTTTTTTAAAAGTGTGTTATTTAACTATTGACGACCAATTAGTCCGTTAAAAAACAAATTTATTATTAAAAAATATTTGATCATTAAGAAAATAATTTTTTTTTTATTTTAAAAAATGTGTTAAGAACCCCAAAAAACTCATTTTTTTCATCAAATTCTGCCATATTTGGGAAAGCACATTATTATAGAATTCAAGTGTTTGATCATCATAAAATTAACGTTTGCTTTTCACAATCCTCTTCTTTGAGGTTAATTTTACTGTCCTAGTGCTACGAAGCTCACAACAACACATATAGGTATATTCAGAGAGTAAAATGTCAGTGTTCTCAATTTTATCTTAATTTATGATGCCTTTTATCTCAACTTATTCCATTGTCATGTCATTGGAAGTACACTCGTAACGCTTTTAATGCACATTACATGGGATGTTATTCACAACAATAATATAAAGCGCTATTGAAGTGCTCAGCGCATAATGATTACGGGGTGCGTTTTATTTTTAGCAATTGAAGCATCGAAGCGCTAAACCAACAGTTTAGTCAAAAAAATAAACAATACGCTTTGTGCATCATCCTGAGCGCAACAGATGATTTTGCTCTGATCCCAAGTAGTATTTAACTTATGTGACTATAAATAGAAATTAATCTAGCAAGGTTAATGCTATAAAAGCAATTCTGTGTCTTCAGGAAAATTTGCTTTTAATTTTGATTTCATTCCTTACCTCCTTTTTTTTGTTTTTTTTTTTCTTAAAACGTCCATATGGCACTATAAGCCATAGGCCATTTTATCAACGCAATATTGTGATAGTTACTTAACAAGCAATGTCGTGTCTACGTACACTTTACACTTTAGTCTTCTCAAATTTAGTTCTCTGTTTTATCGACTTTTTCGGTTATAGACCGACCAAAACGATAAGTATCGAACAAATGCTAGCGAACTATTGCCTTCCAATCAATTGCTTCAATTTATCTGCATAATAGACAATAGCAGAAATTTTAAAATATTTTTTTTGGCTCTTTATTTTCAGTGCTTGGATTGAGACTGCTAGTATAAGACCCTTTGAGGGCACATGGAAAGAGGAGTTATCAAAAGTTGGTAAACCCAATTCATTTAAAGGAGCTATGAATGATATTGAAAAATACATAAATAATCCAGAGGAGATAGACGCTATGGTGATGCTTAATGTGGCTAATCATTCCTCTGAAGCTGATTTCGATAAGATACGCGACGGCCTTAATAACACCCATGAAGATGCTGAAAATGGAGCTGCTGATAATGGTGTTGAAGATGATGTCGCTCATAAATCAGCAACAAAGCGTACACCAAAATCTAAAACTGTAGTTGCTAGCACATCAAAAGCTAAATCTAATTCAGCATCAAAATCGGCCACAAAGCGTCGTCGTTCATCCAAAATTATTGCAAATACCAAACGTAAGCGTGATAACTCAGAAAGTGCTGGACATGGCATTAATGATGACTACAGTGCAGCTGAAATAAATGCAACACCAATACGCCGCAAAATTAACACTGATGCATTAAATGCTATTGGCAGCACATCTCGTCGTAATATGAACACCATTGCTTTATTGGACCGCCCGGTGGTATCACGCCCAGAAGCTCAAGCTATTGATATGAATGTACGTTCGCAGACATTAGTTGAACGTGATATACAACCATCTAATTTGACATTTGGCTTTCTTGGTTTAGGCGTAATGGGTTCAACCATTGTTAAGGATTTAATTTGCACAGGACACAAAGTTGTCGTTTGGAATCGTACGATGTCTAAAGTAAGTATATATTTTAATTAGGTATTGCAATATATATGCAGCAAAATCACACACACAATAATTTTTAATTATATTTATTTTTATGCTTGTCAATAATAATAATTGTTTTTATTTATAGTGCAAACCATTCTTGGAAGCTGGAGCCGATGTTAAAGACACTCCAATGGATGTAGTTGAGGCTGCAGATATCATATTTTGCTGTGTTTCTGACCCTAAAGCTTCGAAGGATGTAAGTTTTAACAAATTAAGTTTTAAAGTATTGTTATGCTTGCAATTGAAAAAGTATCAATATATTGGGAATTAAATTCGGGTACGATTTGGTTTACTGTAATCCAAATTTAGGAAGTAGCAATAAACAAATTAATTTTACTTAGGTGGACACAGTATATTAAAAGTAGGATTTTAGTTATATATGATATTACATTGCACACTTATCATTAAAAAGATTTGTATTTTTATTCTACACAAATAGACTATTAACAAAATCTAATTGTATATTTGTTTTGTGCCCAAACCTCCAGCCTATCAAAACGATTCTCCTCTACACATAGTAAAACGCACTTCTAAGTTTAAAAATTTGCAAATGCATTCTGTATACACCTTAATAAAGTCCTGTATTTTTCTTGGATGTATGGTATTCATGATTTTTATATCCACTTTCATATAATTAATAATCTGCAGTTTACTACTTTAACTTAATGGACTTAAATCTATAAATCGATGTGATTTCGATCTACTAATCAAAATTAAACTTACCACCTAAGCTAGTCTAAGTCAATGAACTATAGTTATGTGTTTGGTGCGACACACACGCACGATATGATATGAAAGTATCTTATTAGATTTCATTTTAGATATCATGAACTTATGCGTATTTTGTATTTTTAGCTTGTTTTTGGTAATTGCGGGGTTTTACAGTTTAAGGACCTTTGCAACAAGGCCTACGTTGAAATGTCAACAATAGATCCAGAAACTTCACAGGATATTGCTGAAGGTATTACACAGTGTAATGGTCGTTATTTAGAAGTACAGGTATGTCACAACAATACATTATATGTATGTGAAATACGAATTGATTAATAAATATTCTTAATGCTTATAGATCCATGGCACCAGACAGGAAGCTGAAGATGGCATGTTAATTATTTTAGCTGGTGGTGACCGAACTGTTTTTGAGGAATGTCATTCCTGCTTTAAAACTATTGCAAAGAATACTTTCTTTTTGGGAGGTAAGTCTTAAAAGCAAATTGATTATTTGTCTTAGTATAAAATTTATAAATCATTATTTATAAAATATTTATATATCGTATATAATATCCCTAGAAATTGAAAATTTCAATATATAATGTATATTGAACAATATTACATTTTACTTTGTATATTTTTTTAATCATTTTCATATAGTATAAATTATGAATATTAATTTTAAATATATGTATATTAGTTTTACATTCATAAATAAAATTATTAATATAAATGTATAAAAATTTAAATATTATGTATTATCTGTTCATTATATATGTATATGTTTTATTTGTTCATTGTATTTAAATCAACGTGTATACTACGTATACAATACATAATTTATGTAACATAATATAATATAATACAACAATAATGTAATATATTATAATTATTAATTATAATACCAAATCTCATTTTGATATTATAATGTCATTTCAATTTGTGTGTATTTATATTTAATACGTATAACATATATATCTATATAGGGCATATTTTTCAAATTGGTCATTTTCAAAAAGTAATAGGTAATTTGTATCCATTGACGATTACAGAAAAATACGTCTATTCCCAATTCGTCATGAGTAACTCTACTCATGACGTCGTCTATCTGTAATCTTGTCCAAATGCACACACAATTTAATATAAAACATACCTTATATTATAATTTTAATTACAATCATTATTCATATAAAATATGTTTTAATATGTGTTTTTAATATTGATTTAGTCGATTGATTAACAATTGCTATTGTTAAAATTTTAGTTAATTTGGATATTTTTTTCTTTATTTCCATTATTTTAGCTGAGGTCGGGAATGCATGCAAGGTGAACCTTATTCTACAAACTATTGTAGGTGTAAGCTTGGTCGGATTGGCAGAAGCACTCGCATTAGGTAAATCTCTTAAAATTGATTTATTTCCATATGTATACATACCAACATTAATGTTGTTTACTAAAAGTTTAAAAGTATATATATAGAATTAAATGAATTTATTGCATAGATTGTGATATATTATATATACAAAAATTTTTTACTTGCAGCTGATCGTTTCTCAATTTCACTAAAGGATATAATTGATATTTTTGAATTGACTTCGATGAAATCACAACTATTGCTCGCAAAGGGAAAAGGTGTGTAAATTATAAAATATAAAAACGTTGTTATTGGTCACAATGGTGACGACTAAAATTAGTGCAGGTGCGTTCGGTGTTCGCGACTAATTAAAAATCAGAGCTGTGTCGTAAACTAAATTTTCGCGACAACCAAACCTTAAATTTTCTTGAAAAAATAATGTGTTATTATTGCAAACTAAAACCTTTTTATTCACATATTCTACGAAATTTCAATTTTCTTTGTCAATATTGTGAAGTTATGTTCTCAGCTATATAAATGTTAATGATTGAAAGTTCTGCGTTTTCTCTCCGAATTTTAATTTGTAAAATATTTAATGGCATATTGTCTTCTTTGCTCCATTCGTTATGAATTTCAGTAAGTGGTAGATTGAGTGGTAGATGCATTGCTACAATTAAACCATCATCGCTTTTTAATTCCGCAATTTGGTGACATGTCACGTTCACTGCTTTTAGTGACAAATCTTTTCCAAAAATTCCAAAAAATTCTCTGATCTAAAAAAAGTCTTTTGTGTACATTTTAATTTTACCAAATATATTAAACTTAACAAATATGTGAAAAAACTTCGCAATAAAATCAATCTTAAAAAATAAATGATATTATCGTTGCGTTCTTACTAGATTTGTATATTTCTGGATTATTGAAAAAACTTTTAGTGGCACGAGAATTTTTTAATTTTCCAACCACCAACAATTTCAGTTTTTCTGTGCCATTCGCAGGGCAGAAAGTTATTTGTTCTTTTCTTCTGGATGCCGTTGTCTCACTACATATGACAAGAGTATGATATCAGAGCATCCGATAATATAAACCGGCTTAGCCGGCATTGTAGATTTGTTCAAGGGTCGACCGTCGAGCCACGCTAATCAATGTAATCTTTAAACTCTTGCACAAATGGATCAACAGCATGAGGTTTCGAAAACAATTTCTCGTAGTTTATTTTTAAAAATCTGATTCCATGTCGACGCTTAAACTTTTCAAACCATCCATTAGTAGCATTGAAACTTGAATTGGTTTGGTAAATTTTGGAATGCAACTCAATAATAGCTTTTGATCGCAAAATACCTGCTGATATGAGGACATTGTTGTGTCTTTGTTTTAAAAAGTACTCATAAAGCATATTTTCCATTCTCGGGACTTAATGTAAACTCAAACAATAAACGCCAAACGTACTAGATTCCATGATGTCATCCATCTGTTTCCATGCACATACTAACTTAAGTCCAGTCCATCTATAGAGCTACGGAGCCACTTGTCAGTTTCAATGGCCAAGTACCGTTCCCTACTTCCCAGCTGGCTACAATAACAACAACATAGAGTCGCCCTATTGAAGCAGCTAGATTTCTCCGCCTTGATCAAGGCTGATTTGAATTTAAATTTCACCCATTCACGATCCATTCTGACGCAAAAACAATTCTCTCTCCTCTCACACTTCAGATTCATCTTACCCACATGATTACCCATGTAGAAGTCTTTGTAATTCCTTACATGTTATCTGCTTGATAGATCTCTGCGAGTTACGAACACAATAACCAAACATAATAGCAAGCAGTACCTCTAGTCTACTGCAATTATTTAAAAGTCCATTGTTTTTATTATAATATATATTGAAATCTATATTATTTTAATGTATAACATTTTAATATTATTTTTTTTTTTTTTCTGTCATTCAGAGATGGCCAAAGGTGACTTTAACCCACAACAACCAGTAAGTCACATGCAGAAAGATTTACGTCTTGTGCTAAGTATGGCAGAAAATTTGGATCAGTCTATGCCTGTTACAGCAATAACGAATGAAGTCTTTAAGCATACAAAGCGGCTGGGATATAGTGAACATGATTCAAGCGCTGTTTTCGTAAGATCCAGATTTTAACATTTATTTAATACTGCGACATATTAATTAATAATTTTCTACAAATTTATCTTTACACACAACAAGAATGATTGTTTAAGTTTCTTTTTTCCTTTTTCTATTATTCTTTCTATTAGTTATAGAATGTCTCCTTGACTTTATTTTTGAAAATAGTGAGGTTTAATGAAAAATATTGTATTTTTACACAAAATTTTACAAATTCAAAAAAACAAAAAAACAAAAATATCAAAAACTGACAAACAACTGACGTTATACACACATATATATGTAATATCTATTGTATGTCGTATAGTTAAGTACGCTGAAATGAGTGTATGCTAAACCATAGATTTAAGACGTGCTTAAATATATCCACAATTGCTTATAATTAAGCGATTTCTCAAACATTTTAGTTGAATTTAATATTTTAAAAATACATAAGTAAGTGATAGCAATCACTTTTATTAGACCATAAATAAGAAGTTTAATATATGTCAATATAATAAATGTAATCATAATGGTAACAATCATAATGATAATAGTAATTGAAGAAACTTTACCGCCGTGCGGTACATTGGTACATTATGGACAAAAACATTTTAACAGGATGAGGAAAGTGGCATTATTCACTTAAAATGTACTATATGTATAGAATGTTAAATTCTATATATGCACGAATTTGCATATAAATATATATGTATATATATATATATATATGTGCATATAATATGTATACAAATACATACTTTGAATATTATTAAATTTGGCCAATATGTTTATTAAGCACCTCTTGAAGATATCGGAAAACGTGGTTTTAAAACTGGTCAACTGTACAGTACATAGACTGCATGATGATGCACACATATACACAAAACATGAATAATAAATGTTTATTGCTTTACATTATTTTTTAAATAATTTCGTATTTTTTTTATGTGCTTTTTTAGTTGATATATTTGATGATTATTATAAATATGATTGCTATTAATAATATAATTGTTTTTTTTTTTATTTACTTAATTAAAATTTTTTACGTAATTATATTTAGTTACTATAATTATATTAATTCTTGTAGTAATTAATAATTATGTTTAAATAATTCAATTTAATATAATGGTTGTAGATAGTGTAGTTAGTATATAACACTTAAGCTTGGGTACATAATTCGAAACCATAAAATTATTTAGGAATATTACAATTTCCACTTTTTGCTTTGATTAATAATCCATAAAAATTACTTTGTCAAGAAGTAAGGAGTAAAACAAATATTGTTAGCTTGATACAAATCAGCTAACATATTGTTAAATACTTACCACTTACCTGAAAGCTTACTTAGCTGACATATATATTCCTTAAATCTCGAGCTTTATTTTTTTAACAAAATTTAAATATTTTTTCAATATCTATAACGAAACTTAATCCTAACAAGTGTAAGACTTTTTTTAATTTTACACATTTTTAAATTTGAATGCTCTATACACTTTTGTATTTCTTATAAAAATGTAATATGTGCAATAGAGACATAATATGTCTTTTATATTACCTTCTTATATTTCCTTTTTGATATAAATATCACTAGTAAATAAGAAGTATATTTTGCCATTTTTGGGTACACTCAGTAATTTAGTGACGAACTCACAGTTGAAAGATTGAAAGCTTTTCAAATGGACGCCTCTCATAAAAGGAAATCGGAAATCTCTCATAAACGTGCAATGTTTTTACCTCCCGTTCTTATTTTTCATACAAAGTATGTTCGTTGAAACGGAATGTTCGCATAACCGTACGGTATTGCTGGTCCGGTCCGGTACCGTCACCGTCTGTGTTAGCTGAAGAGAGTTCTCACTGTATTTTTTTTTTTTTCTCTCTCTCTCCTTACCAAAGTTGCCTTTTTCTAAAACCAATTGTTATGAACGTTATGACTCTAAGTGCGATTATTTACAATAAGGCATTTCAGTTTATAAAACGATTTTGTTCAATATAAAATTAGATTTTTTTATTCAATATAATAAGGCATTTTCATTTGTCGTGCTGCACACTTATAAAAATAGCAGGGAAATACTATTTAACCTTTATTTCTTTATTAAATTCTAAACAAAAAAAAGAATAGAGTTTACCTTTCGAAGGAAGGATTTTTTTACACTAATTTTTTGATACACAACTCAATGCAACCATTTTGTTAAATTTGAATAATATTTCTATCTATACTTTTTGCTTTTATTTAATTAATAGTTTTATATAAAAATGTCTCTTTAAAAAGTAATTTGCAAAATTATTCCATATTTGATTGATTTGAAAAAAAAAAGTTGACAATTTGAGGCGTTTTCGGTGCCTCGCAATTGTAACAAAAAACGCATGCTTGCTAGCCAGCCTATATTCGTTAAGCGAGACATTGGCAGCACTGTTGCAAGCTGTCAAGTGTTATACTTTGGCAAATAGCAAATAGTAAATCTTGTATATCTGCACATAAATCAAGCAAATCATATTTTGTATAAAAATAAATAATTAATATAAATTGTAAATTAAAATGAATACGGAGTTAAGAGGAACGGCCAGTATAGGCCAGCAGCTTGCTGTTTTCTGCCACACTTGCGAGCTAGCGAATACGTCTAATTATTATTTTCAATTATCGACAAATTTTAATAAGAAACTAAAACGAATTTTTTTTTTTTTTTGCAACTGAAATTACAATAACGATTTTAATTATTATATCTGCTTTCAATTTTAAAATTAATTTTGTGCAACTATAATTATTTTTCTACCAAATGTATTTCCTAATACAGTGTGAACACTCTCATAGGCGCACATTTCTTGATAAGTTTCATTTTTAAAATAAAAACGTCAGATTTTCAATCTAATCTCAGGACATGTGTTAATATAATTATCAACATTTCCACTCGGAGAGACATATATTGTTCATTGTGATGCCCTCGGAATTGACAGGAGTAGGCAATTTTAACTCTCATCAGCGCTTTCCCCCCATTAGAGTTATATTGAGTCGGGGATATTTATTGAAACAATATCTAGATCCTAGATTAATCGATCTAGATCCCAGATTAATCGTTGTTTTCATTATAGCTTCATATACTATTCTTGACATATTATCTTGTCTTCAAAATGCAGTTATATAATACCAATAATTCTGTCATGAAAATGGTGTTTGATGGATTCCACATTCTCCATCACGTAGCAACTCATAAACAGTTTGCTTGCCGGAATACGCCATGGCTAACATGGCTGCAACAATACCCCTTAAGCAAAGTTTACCCCTTAACGTACGTTCTTTTAAACGGGCAGTTCTCTGAACTGAAGAGAATTGTTGATTCTGCCAGTGTCCACTTGAGAGAGTGTTCATTTATATATTTATTATTTGCTTTTTTAATAAGAAGTAATCCTTTTCAGACACAATTCTAAAACTTTTTTTTTTAAGAGTTAAATAAATTTTTTTCTATTTTGTTTTTATCATAAAAAATTTAATTCGTTTTAGTTTATCGTTATAATTATTGTTTTTTTTTTTTTTTCAATATTATTTAAAATCAAAATTTTTTATTACTGTAATTGCTTATAATCGTTAGTCTTTTTACTTCCGTTTTTAGCCGTCAATTTTTTTTAAATCATTTAAAAATAAAATTAATTATTTCTTTCAATTTTTAAAAGCAAAAATAAATTTTTTTAAATCTTAAAATCAAAACTAATTTTTTTTAATTTATAAAAGCGAATTTTTTTTTTATTTTTTAAGATTAAAAATAATTTTTTTTTTAATTTATAAAAGTAAAATTTTTTTAATTTTTAAAAGCAATAACTAAAGTTATTTAATTTTCATTGCTATTTAATTTTTTTTATACATTTCTGCTTTACATGCATAAAATCATCGTTTTATTTATCATTTACAAAATAAAAAAATTATTTCAGCAACAAAATTGTAATATAACTAAAAAAATTACATTCTTATTATAAGATACATAATGTTTAAAATTTTTAAATTAAATTTAATAGTGTAATTGAATATTTTGGGGGGTATAAAATATATAAATTTATATAAATGAAAAAAGAAATAAATAATAAATATATAAAATGCATTGTAAATATTAGTGTATTTTAAAATAAAATAACATGTACCCAGTTCTTAATAACATTATGAAATATTTAATTTTACAAGTTTAAAAGTATAAATATATAATATTAACATATATAAAATTTTGGGTTAATACTAATATTAAAACTGTAATGCTAAGTTTGGAGTTTTCTTTTCTATATGTTAAAATATTAGTATAAAGTATAATAAATGTATAATTATAACAATAACAATTGTTTTAAGAGTATGTAATTTAATTACTTTATTGAATAATGTAATTCTTTCATGTTATTTCATTTCATATAAATAATATTGTTTATAATTTTTTTTTTAGTCTTTCTTTGAGCAAACAATTCCAAAAAGGTATTTGCAATATAATCTAAATGCAATATTATTAATAATTATATAAAAAATGTTCAATAATTTTTTAAAACAAAAACAAAAAAATTCTTTTTAAATGAATTTGTATTGTTGAAGATTAAAAAACAAAAATAATAAATAACAATTAATTGCTATTAGTAAAATAATTTACTTTTTAAATAAATTCATACACCACCACATTTCAATGAGGTACTTTTTTGTGTTTTGTTGTAAAAAATACTAAATTTTAATAATATCAATAATGCGGCCTTTTATTTTTATTTTTATTTTTGTTTTTTAATTTTTCTCTTATATTTATTAAAAATTTTTTTATAAATATAATTAATATCTTTTTTTAGAGCTGATAGCGAAACCCCAAGTTGGTATCCGTAATGTTCAACATTGCTTAAAAGTAAAACAATTTTCTAGTGACTATTTACTTAATTACAATTTCTACAATTGATTTGATTACAGCATTTTAATTAAAAATACTTTAATCGCAAGCTAAGCTCAATAATTTACAATTAATTACAATTAATTACAATTAATAAAAGCAAAAGCAAAAGCAAACGCAAAAACAAAAACAAATGCAAAATGTTTAAATAAATGGGAAATAAAATAAATTATTTGAAAATAATTTGTTGCTTGAAATAGTTTTGAGAATTATATCGAGTTTTAATTGAAAGTTCAAATTTTGAGTGCATCCATGTTTGTAATCATTTTTGATTTTTTGTTTAATAAACTCAATTATAATTAAATGCAAAATAAAAAAATTGCTAGTATTGTTGTTTGGTTCACAATTAATGTATGCCTAACTTAAACAAAACACTTGAAAGGGGACTGGACACTACTAATGTCAGTAAAATTTATTAAAAACTATGTACTATCCTTTTAACTTTAAGTTGTTTTTAATAAATCAAATCCATCAAATTCCAGAAAGAAAGAAACAAAATCTAAACTTGTATAACCAAAAACAA